GTTCTGCTGAAGTGGAAAAGAGAGAGCCATTCGGTCCATGTGAGCAGCCACTCAAGTATTGGGACTTGAAGAGGTCCCCAGGCTTGTCCAAGGCATGGAGCCTCTGACAGATTCAGGGTCAAAGACAAGGATGTGCATGTGCTTTGACGTCCTCCACACCTGGCGACAATGGAGAAGAACAAAGTGGGTGTTTGAGTCAGCTTTTTCGCTGCTGAGACTAAAAGACCGGAGCAGCACAGCTGTAGAGGAGGAAAAGTTTATTTGGGGCTCACAGTTTCAGAGGTCTCAGTCCACAGACAGCAGGCTCCATTCCTCGGGGCTGGAGGTGAGGCAGGACATCATGGAGGAAGAGTGTGGCAGAGGGAAGCGGCTCACATGGTGATCAGGAAGCAGAGACTCCACTCTCCAGGTACAAAATATAGACCCCAAAGGCATGTCCCCAATGTCCCCCCTCCTCCAGCCACACCCACCTGCCTCCAGTGACCACTCAGTTCATCCCATCAGGGATCAATTCACTGACTGGGTTAAGGCTCTCACAACCCAATCACTTCTCCTCTGAATCTTCTTGCATGGTCTTACTCATGAGCTTTTGAGGGACACCTCCCATCCAAACTGTAACAGTGGGGTATGGGGCTGGGGAGGGGAGATGGTGTTGGTGACTGAGTTTAGGGCTTGGACCCTATGAGAGGGCCAAAGGAGGAACCCTAAAAGGCGAGGGACATCAGGAAAGACACGGTGGGAAGAGAAGCACGTTTCTCCCTAGCCACAGTCTAGACCCTTGCTGTGGGCGGGTGTTCATGAACTTGACCTTCATATTATAAGCCCTGAGTCTCACCTCAGAAGATCTCAGACCTGGCTGCATACTGACATCTCCCACATGAAAAACCAGCGCAGGAGGCCCTGACTGCCTCTCACCCTATCCTAGAAGGAGCTGGAAGGATCTCTGGGTGTCCTGCCTTAACCACAAGACGCCAGCTGTAGGGAGCAGCCTGCGTAGGGTGGGGCGGGAGGAAAGGGTGGCGGGGGCTCAGGGGCCCTGCCATTGTCTGTTGCTCTCTTTGCATGGGAACTAGAGAGATAATCTTTCAGGAACATTCAGGGCTCCAATTAGAATCTTCCTTTCCTGACAAGGGGTTTCCTTCCATTGTTGTGGTCTCCCCTCCCCCTCCAACCAGGCTCCCGGAGGGGAGGGGCCATTGGGGGTGTGCACCAAGGCTTCAAGACAGGAGCCGGGCAACCTGCGGGAGGACCCCTGGGCTTTGGAGCCAACATCCGGCTGCGGGGAGCTGCAGGGCCTCTGAGGGGCATCCTTGAGATCTGGGGTCTCCTCCTCTTCCTAGCAGGGACAGAGACCATGACTGAGCTCTGCCTACTCCCCTCTCCCCAGGGTCACTTGTACCTCTGCTGCTGTGAACACCTCCAAAGAGCCCCTTCAGGCCCTGTGGGGACCACCCTCCTGCCTGCTGCCCCCTCCCCCCGCAGCCTGCTCACCCCCGCTCACCACCCCCCTTCCTTCTCCTCTCCTCCCCTCCCCCTCCCCCCTGAGCTCTCTGGGTGGTGTCGCCACTTCCTTGTTGAAGCCTGCAGTCTGACAAGGGGAGAGAGGGGTGAGCCGAGGCAGCCTCAGGAGTAAGTCTCCTGGCAAATTAGGCAGGATTTGAAATCCATTTTTTATTCTGCCCATTATTAATTATTGTTATTTCTGCTGTTCATTAGCAGCTCATTGCCTTGATCAACTCTGGGGAACAGAGGCTTTCAAAGCATTTCTCCTGGTGGAGACCCAGTCCAAGAACCCCCACCCCCCAGGGCTGTAGAGGGGTGCCCTTCAGGATACCCCTGCTGCCCTCCCGGATGCAGAAGGTGGAGCCCCCCCACAGCTGCACAGAACCCCAGTCTTCTTTTTAATACTCTACTTGAAAAACACTGAAGATTGAACCTGTGTAGAGGAAAACAAGAAATGATACCCTGATCTTATGCCTCTACATAGACAGACCCACAGTCACCTAGGGCAAGACACACGCCATTCCCAGCACCTGTCCCAGAAGCCCCTTTGAGCCCTCTCCCAGCTGCTCTGCCTCCAAAGGCAACTGCTATTCTGATTTCCCCCCTCCCCTCCTCTTCCTCTTCTTCTGTGAGGAGCCTTGCTGTGTTTCCAAGGCTGCTCCAAGCTCCTGGGCTCAAGCAGTTCTCCCGACTCAACTTTCTGAATAGCTGGGACTAAGGTGCCCCCCATGTCTGGCTTCATTAAACTGACTTCTAATGGCATAGACTTAATTTGTCTGGTATTTATTTATTCACTTATTTGGTACCAGGAATTGAGCTCAGGGGCGCTTTACCACTGAGCCACATCCCCAACCCCCCATTTTTTTATTGTTTATTTTGAGACAGGGTCTCACTAAATCACTGAGGCTGGCCTCCAACTTGTGATCCTCCTGCCTCAGCCTCCAGAGTCACTGGGATTATAGAGGTGTGCCACCATGCCTGGCAATTTGTCTGTGTTTGAAAATAGATGGTATGATATGTGTTCTTGCATATATGTGGCTTCTTTATCCTGTTGTTGCATGTAGCAGTCTTTTGTTTTTTTTTTTCAATGCTGTATATTATTCCTTGGTGTGAATATATCATGATTCGTTTATCTGTTCTTGATAGGCGTTTGAGTTGCCATGTGCATTTGTGTGTGACTTTTGGTAGACATAAGCACTCTTTTCTCTTGGCTATATCCCTTGAAATAAAATCATGAGTCATAGGATATGCAATGAAGTCATGCCTGATTTTTCCAGGAGCAAGCCAACAGAAGGCAATTCTTAGTTCAGAGGCCTCAAAGAGAAATGATGGCAGTTTCAGGCCTTACATGGGTGGGGAGATACTTTTATTTATGTGTAAGGTACATGGTTGCCAATAGCCACGTGCTTGGGCAGGGCCCTCTAGCCCTGACTATAAGTTTAGTCATGTGACTTCCTTTGACCAATGGGACATCAACAAGCACTATTTGATAAGCTATAGTCTGAATGTTTGTGCCCCTCCAAAATCCACAGGGTAGAACCTACTCTCCAAGGCGACAGTGTTAAGAGATTGGGCCTTAAGAAGTCACATGGGCTCTACCCTCATGGATGGGGTTGGCGTCCTTACCAGAGGGGCCCAAAAGAGGCTGTTTGCCCCTTCTGTGATGCAGAGACACAGCAACAGGGCATCTATGAAGCAGAGAGTGGTCCTCACCAGACACCAAGTCTGCTAGTACCTTGACCTTGGACTTCCCAGCCTCCAGAACGATGAGCTATAACTTTCTGTCGTTTATAAATTACAAAGTCTAAGGCAGTTTGTAATAGTAACAGAAGCAGACTCAGCTGCTTACTGCCCCCACATGGGACAAAGTCTGGTCTAGCTCTCCTTCACATGACAAGACCCCACAGAATGATCCAGATTTTGGCGATTGGAGAGTTGGATTTGGGAAGTTGCTTGCTACTTCAGGATAACCTGGCCTACCCAAACATGGGTACCAGAAGTGGGATTCGGCTGTAACCACGACCCTGAAATGTGTGATGTTGGCTTAGGGTTGGGTGCTAGATGGCCAGGCAGCTGGAAGGACTGGGCCTTGGTGGCGTTAGGGGGTCCTGCCCCCCAGTCTTCTGCTCCGGGAGTCCAGTGACTTTCTTACCTGCATTAGGATGGATCTTCTCTTTTATACAACATTCCCTCGTCTTTTCTGGCTTTCTTTGTCGTCTTTTTCTGGTGTCCCTTCTAACTCTAGCAACCACTGACTGGTCGGTCGGGGGAGGAGGAGAGGATCTTGGGGACAGTAGCATATCTTTCAAGGCGAGGGTGTCAAGCACTTATTTTGGAAGAGAGAATTCAACACCAGGGCTGCCAAAGCATTGTGGGTAGACCTTTAGACATCCATCCGGGTTACGAAACTCGAGCGCAGCTTTTCCATGACTTGCTAGTTGATTACCCCATGATGGTGTCTGAGCCCCCTGCAGTTCCTATGAACATTGGGCTGGCAAGCAGCTGACCCCCAACTTCTCCTCCTAGCCATCGCATCCCTTTGGGCATTACTTTGTCTCTTTGGACCTTCCTGTATAGTTGCAACCTCTATGTGGGAACAATCATGCTGGCCTGGCCTTCACAGAGTGCTTAGGACATCCATGGCATAGAGCAGCGCTGGGTACCCATAATGCAATGTGGGACAGTTATTTCCAGAAACTGCCATTGGTCCGAGTTGTTTCACTTTGGGGCAATGAGTTTTGCGTTTTTCAAGGTCATGTTGCTTGATGGCCTCTCTCTTTATCAGGTCTACCTAAATTTGGTGTGTTCAAGAACAACAGTGGTCTCCAAAAGCTTTCTCTCGCCATCTCCTTTTATATTTTTGAATCAGTGGGGACCTTCACCTTGATGAGGCCCTTGGCTCATTTCAGGAAGACCTGTGAGAGAGTTGGACTCCTTACTCTGCAACTGAATCGTATCTGTACCTGTATCTGTATGTGCCACCAAAGCTTTTTTTTGGCGGTGCTGGGGTTGGAACCCAGGGCCTCGCACATGCTGGGCAAGCGCTCTACCACTGAGCCACCTGCCACAGCCCACTCATCAAAGCTGCTTTGACATTAGATTTCTTCTTGGAGTAAACCAAGGGGGTGAGTTCCAAATCCACAACCTGTGACCTAGCTTGCGGGGTTGGGGGGCTACTTTATGATCATCTGCATAATCCTGGGAGAACGGGTGCCCCCACGAGGGCACATCCTGTGCGTGTATAGGCGCATCTTGTTCTGGGAAGAGAGGTCACAGTTTCTTCAGATCCACACGAATGGACCCCAGGAGATGAAGATCTCCCAAGCCTCGCTCATTCCTGTGAGGTGAGATTTTTCTGTAGCATCAGAAACAAGCTACTGATGTTGAGATCTATTGTCCAAAAAAAGGAAAACAGCCCAAGGTGTCGGGATCTGTCACAGCTAGACCCACAGACATGCAGGGCTGGCGGCTCGGTTCTGTGACTCTGTGGGGATGGCTGCTGTCCCCTCCTGCGGATCCAGGTGTACGCGCCTCCTGCCAGGCTGGCCGCGGGGTTTGGTCCAAACAGCTCAAGGCAGAAGGCAGCAGCACCCAGGGGGAGAGCTGTCGTCATGTCCCCAAAGGCTAAACTTCCCCTTCCTTTTTCATGAACAAATACCACACTAGCATTTGAGGCAGGGGAGCCGCATCCAGGGTTAACCTGGGTGTGGGACCAGGGAGCATCTCCAGTGCGAGTCTCCCAACCATGCTTGTTCTTTTATTTTGATTGATCAATTTTTTTTTAAAGGGGACACCAGCAAGAGGAGGGAGGGGGTGGGGAATGATGCCAATGATTTCCCAGGAAATGCTTTGCTGAGAATTATCTTCCAGGGACGACCCACCCCTACTCCTTCATGGAAAGGCGCCCACTCAGGCGCTGCGCTCTTCTGTGTGGTCCCCAGGTGGAGGGTAGGGACCTGAGGAGGCGGCTGCCGTGCTGTTCACTCTAGATTGAATGACACGCGGGAGGTGGCCCTGATCAGGCACACATAACTGGTACTGCGGGGAGATGCTGCTTGGCGATTGTTTGTGGAGTAAAAAGAATTTGATCCTGAGATGAATGGCGCTTCCTTAGTCAAGAACCATGGCCCTCCCTGGGGACATTGGGAAGTGGGGGGATGTGTTCTGTTGTTTGGTTGCCACAATGACTAAGGGGGTGCTTCCAGACTCAGTGGCCAGGGGTCCAGGGACACTCAACATCCTACAATGGGGAAGGGACTGTCCCATACAATGGGGATTTGTCCAGGCCCCAATTCCAATAGTGCTCCTGTTGACAGGGCTACTAGCTGCAAAGAAAGTTCCAGGTGTCCTTTCTAAAGAACCGATTGGTTCATTAAAGACTAAGGATCATTTTTCAAGGTGACCCAGGGGATTGGAGTAGGGACAGAATTCGTGGACAGCCTGGGCAGCTGGCAGCCCCAAGAGGCTGGGGGAGCCGAGGCCCATGGACCCCCTGGAGGTCAGGAGGAGCCAAGGCCCTGTGGGGGAGGGGTGCTACTGGGTAGGGGAACTGGTTGCTGCAAATGGAAAGTGACAAGGGCCTGAGGGGAAAATGGGCTCATCACTATGGTGCTGAGTCCCCCAGAGTGGGGCAGCTGGAAGGAAGACTGAGGGCCCAAGACAGGGACTTGAGATGTCCCTGAGAAAAAGGCGGAGGGGACCCTTTCCAGGCAGATCTGGGACAGACAAAAAGGGCCGCTGTGGCCAGTTCTGTTGTGTCCCGCCCTCTATTTCTCCATTTCAGAGGGATCCTGGCCTCTGGTCCACATGCCAGACACCGGCTCTGGCATGGAGTCCCCTCTGGGAACTGAGTCCCTCCTGCTCTCAGATCGTGTAGCATAAACCGGGGTGCTCCCAGGGCTGCTCCCATCAGGCACCCCACCACATGCAGACGGGAGGGTCCTGCAAGCCCAGCCAACTGTCCTTGTGGACTGCCCACTCATCCTGTGTCCCCCAGCTCCGGACCAAGCCAAGGGACTTTCAAAAGCAGGTATTGAGGTCAGCTCCTAGCCCAGAGGCCCTTTGTCTTGTGCTAATCTGTGGTTTGCAAGGCAAAGGCGTGTGAGATGACAGCGCAGGGACAGAACTCAAGCTCTGCAGGGGGTGGGGGAGCTGGCTTCCCACAAGCACTGGGGGGAGGGACTGGGCCCAGCTGCTGACATTTTTACAAAGCAAATGTAGGGCTGAGCCGGTGACCTCAGTGTGATGGAAAAAGCCTGTCAACGGTGTGGCTGCCAGAAATGGCCTGTCTCTCGGCCCACCTGTTAGGAAGAGGAAAGGGAGATATTGAGTAATGTCACCCTCGTGAACAGTTGCCAAACATTGACCGTGGGCCCGCGCTTCTGAGCCCTCCATCTAGGCCAGCGCGGCGAATCGACCCGCGGCCTCATGCAAAGGGCTTTACTTACGCTTCCCAGTTGACAGATGAGGAAACTGAGACGGAGGGATCATTTACTCACCCGAAGTCGGACACTTAGGTGATGAACAGGGCTGTGAGTCCTGGCAACCTGGCCCCCAGCCCCTATGGAGCCAGCCCCCAGCCCCCAAGCCTGCTGTTAGGAGTCTTCAAACAGGTCCGGGGAAGAGAGGCTTTCATGTGCTAGGGGAGGAGGCTGCATGTCCACAGCGTCGTTGTTTGGCCTGGGCTCTGATGACCCACAGCTGCATACCTAGGAAATCAACTACCGTGTTATTAGTATCTCTTGCTGTTCTGGAGGGTCAACTGCCCTGAGGTAGAAGGTTCTCTCTCCTGTCTCTCGCCTTCTATCCCAGACAACGTCTGGGGCTGGATTGTTCTAAAATCTTCTCTTCTTCCTTCAAGCCACTGGCCACTGAGGCTGGCTGTTGGCTGGAACCTCAGTGGGAGCATCTCCATGTGGCTTTTCCGGGTAGGCTGGGCTTCCCCGCCACATGGTGACTGATTTCTAAGAGTAAGGGAGTCACACAGAGACACTTCTATTCTTGTTACAAGTCTGTCCCCATTCAAGGGGAGGGACTATGTTCCCCAGCTCTTGGGAAGAGTAATATCAGATTGTAAGAAAGGCATGTGGTACAGGTCTTGCAGCCATCTTGGAAAATGGAATCTGCTACGGCATTCTTCCTTAGAGTTTTTCATCTTGAAAGGGTCTCAACTGTCTGTGAATTAAGCTCAAATTCATCTGGAGTCTGTTTCCTTGGTGCCAAGATGCTAAATGAGTAAGGACCCAGAGCCTTGGTTAGTAGCCTCTGTTCTATCCACATCAGTTTCCCTGCGAGGCCAGGCACTGAGCTGGGAGCTGGGGACACAAAATCCCTGCTTCCAGGGAGGACACCAGCTATTAGCCAAACTCTCTGCCCTGAGAAGGTGTTGTCTTTGTGATTTTTTTTTTTTTGTACCAGCAATTGAACCCAGGGGGGCTTAACCACTAAGCCCCAGCCCCAGCCCATTTTTCATATTTTATTAGAGACAGGGTATGGCTGAATTGCTTAGGGTCTCATTAGGGCCTTGCTAAGTTGCTGAGGCTGGCCTCCAACTTGAGATCTTCCTGCCTCAGCCTCCCAAGCTGCTGGGATTATAGTTGTGTACCACCGTGCCCTGCTGCCTTTGGTTTTTATAAATATAGATGGAAAAAGCTCTAAGCAGAGGCAAGTCTTGCTTAGTTTTATACTGTCTCCAGGGGAGCCATACTCCAGAACTGCCCTCCTCTATTCTTACGTGGGCCGGGCCTGGGCTTTCATTGTTTATCCTTGGCTTGGACCTGAATTCTGATTCCCGTCCCCCTCATTCACATGTTGAAGTGCTCTGTCCTCAGAGTGGAACTGCATTTAGGGATGAGGCCTTTAAAGAAGCAATTAAGTTAACATGAAGCCATGAGGGTGGGCTTAGTTTAACATGACCGGTGTCCTTGAAAGAGGAGGTAACTTGGTCACAGAGAAACACCAGAGACACTTGCACAGAGGCCAGATGACGTGAGGACACAGGAGAGAGGTGGCCCTCTACAAGCCCAGGAGAGAGAGAGCCCTCAGAAGGAACCCACCCTTGATCTTGGACTGGATCGTTCAGCCTGGGGACAGGTGGAGGTAGGAGGCAGCAAGGGGCACCCCCTCTTCACCAGCCTGGCCCCAGAGGGCTTGTGGCCTGTGGGTGTTCTGATTGGAGCAGCCCCCTCAATGCGCAGGCCTGAACCCTGAAGGTGCTCACTTGGGCCCCGGCTCTGCCACGATTCGGGAGGTGGTGCAGGGTCTGAGCCGGTGGAGAAGCACATCCCAACGTAGCCACCGGCAGCCCAGAGCCTGGGCCACTCCGGGCACCCAAGCTGCAGTCCTTTCTCCCTGCCCCGTTGCCACCACATTTTTTATTTTGTTATATTCTTTCCATTGTCCTGATGTGAATAATTTAAAGTGACACGTCCGCACAGGCACGCTCGCACACACTCTCCAGCGCCCTCCCCCTCCCCAGGTCTCAGTGGGCAGAGCGAGTGACATTTGCGTGCCTGTCTCTGAGATAGGGTTTCTCCTTCTTAGTGTGAATCGTCTGTCTCGTCTGCATTTCCCATTCTGTTTCTCATTTCCTTTCTTTCCCTCAATTCTCTGCAGTCACTGCTTATGTGACAGAAGGGGCTGGGAAGGAGCCTTATTTTCCCATCTCTTTGTTGTTATCACATTGCAGACAATTCTCTTGAAAATTCTTTTTTTTTTGGTATTACAGATTGAACCAGAGGTGTTTAACTACTGAGCCACATCCTCAGCCCTTTTTAACTTTGTTTGTTTTGAGACAGGGTCTCACTGAGTTGCTTAAGGCCTCGCTAAGTTGCTGAGGTTGGCTTCCAACTTGCGATCCTCCTGCCTCAGCCTCCTCAGGCTCTGGGAATACAGACATGCACCACCTTACTCAGTGGTCTTGGGAGTTAAGGGGAAGGGAGAAAAGGGATCCAAGGAGGATTCACCATTCTTCTCCTGCAAGGCTATTCATTTTCCAAAGACATAAGGAGCAAGTTTGGGGTTTGGACACTCAGGGGTTTCTGTGTCACCTGAGTCTTCTGTGACTGATCCACGTGGAACTGCAGCTGGCCACTGGCATTGTCTGGAAAGCAGCTTTGGCCTCTCTCAGCCTTGAAGTAGGAAGCAGGCTTTATTCGTCAGGAGAAGGCATGGCCAGGATTTCCTGAAGGTCCTGGCCTCTAGCCTGTAACCCGGCGCTGTCCAGTAGAAATAGAATGCAGGCCGCAGATGTGAGCCACATCCATAATTTTAAATGCTTCAGGGGCCACATTAAGAAGGAGCAGGTGAAATTCCTGTGAATAATATATTTTATCTCACCCCTTTCTCCAAAATATGACCATTTCAATCTGTGACTGAGGGAAAAAAAATGACGAATGAGATATTTGATTTTGTTTTCTTGGAGCTAAGTCTTAGAAAGCCAGTGGGTACTTCACACGTAGGGTAGATCTCAGTTGGGACTGGCCACATGGGAAATGCTTAATAGCCACATGTGGCCAGTGGCTACCAAGAGTGTAGGCCTAGCCTAACCCAGCCTGGGGTCCCGAGCCTCCGTTTTGGCCACCTAAATGACAGCAATATGAACGTGGCCTTCAAGTGCATGTATGAGGGAAAACCTACGCAGTGACACGTGGAGAATTGGCCGAGCCATTATTCCCCCTCCCCCACCATCATTAGTGGTAATCCTCATTAATGGGCTGGCAGAGCCTGGCTGTAGCCTTGTGGCTTCTAGTCCATGGAGTGTTCCGTGCTGGGGAGTGGCTCACCCGGAGTCCATTTGGGGCAGACCTGTGGGTGCAGTTTCCAGGTCCTGTAGGCCTGTCCCCCAGCTGGGGCCTCACCTCCTCGGTACAACCTCCTCCTCTCTGCATTAGGTCCCAGGCACTCCTCTGGCCTTTCCTTTCTATATATAGTGCTCTGTGGTGACAGCTGGCCATCAGATGACTCATCAGTCACCACGGGTGTCTCCGGATGGAACCCTGAACATTTATTCATAGGGTACTCGGGCCGTTTCTGAACTCCTCCTAGTAACTCTGGCCTTGAGGGGGTTGTCTCGACGAACCTCATGGAAGCAGGGTGCAGTGACACAAGCTTGTAATGCCAGGTGACTTAGGAGGCCGAGGCCCAAGGATCCCAAGTTCGAGGTTAGCCTTGGCAACGTAGCAAGACTCTGTCGCAAAATAAAAAATCAAAAGGGCTGGGGATGCGGCTCAGTGGTGAAGCACCCCGGGTCCCATCCCCAGTACTGGAGGGAAAAAGTGGCCATTAGAGGTTTGAGTCATCCATCAGTGAGCCCCTAGCTGCCTGTGGGGACTTGGTCAATCCAGCAGGGCTTTGGGGACTGAGGTCTCCCCTGGCAGTAGGGCCCAGGAGATGTGAGCTCCTTTCAGACACAGTGGGCCCTAGGGGACTAAAAGCTGGCTTTGAGCCTGACAAGAGCTGCTTTAGCCCAGGCACTTCTACTCACCAGCTACGCCGTCCTGGGCAAGTCCCTTCTGGTTTCTGAGCTTCCGTTTCCTCCTCGGTGCGGTGTGTTCGATCCCTGTGCAGCTGGTCAGCTGAGCGGGTTAGATGAGGTGCCGTCTGTAATAACTGTTATTCTTGCCCGGCCCACGGGCCATGTCACTTCCGCTTCCCTGAAGCCAACCCTAAGATAAGGATTTGTGGGGAGGTGAGTTATTATGAAGGGCCTGGGGAAAGTGGGACCAGGAGGGACAGACAGGAAGCCAACTGCACACTAACTTCTTCTGTAGAGTGTCTTAGCTTGACCTGCTGTAACAGAGTAGCCTGGATTGGGTGGCTTATAAACCACAGGAATTTTTTATTCATCACATTTGTGGAAGCCGGGAGTCTGAGACCAGGGTGTGAGCATGGTTATACTCTGGGGAGGGCCTTTTTCTAGGTTGTGGACTTCATATGGTGGAAAGATGGTGGAAAAATGGCATGGGCTCTTTGTGGTCTCTTTGGTAAGGGCAGTGATCCCATTTGTGAAGCCTCTACCCTGTGACCTCATCACCTGCCAAAGGCTCCTTGAGGATTGGGATGTCCGTGTATAACTTTGGTACTTGTTTTTGCAGTATTGGGGATGGGTCCCAGGGCCTCACACGTGCGAGGCGGGCCCTCTACCACTGCGCTGCAGCCCCAGCCCAGGGTGTCAATAGGTGAGTTTGGGGAGAGCACAAACATTCTGTCTATAACAACAGAGTAGCTTCAGTCTGACTGATATGAGCTGCTGGGATTACAGGCGTGTTCCACCTGTACTGGCTTCATTATTACTATTTATCACTTAAAAGATTGTACCCAGAAATGGTGGCACACACATGTAACCCCAATAACCCAGGAGGCTGAAACAGGAGGATCAGAAGTTCAAGGCTAACCTCAGCCACTTAGCAAGGCTCTTGGCAACTTAGCAAGACTCTGTCTCAAAATAAAAAATTAAAAAGGGCTGGGGAAGTGGCTCAGTGGTTAAGTGCCTCTGGGTTCAGTCCCCCATACCAAAAACACCAAGAACAGAAACGAAAGAAAGAAAGGCGGGGGAGGGAGGGAGGAAGGAAGGAAGGAAGGAAGGAAGGAGGGACAGAGGGAGGGAGATTGCTTAACTTAGGGCACGGTATATACTTTATATTCATAACAGTGGAATTGAAGAAAGATGCTTTAAGAGGCTCATTAAGACCAACATTGAAAATTTTACAGTAATTCCATTTAGTTATTTGAAAAAAAAAAGTCACATTGCCTTGGTAACAATACTTTTTCTTCCCGTTGCCCTGACTTATTGGTGTCTTTGTAGAATCACCCCATTTGCCAGTGAGTCTGTGACCTGCCATCCTCTGCCGTCTAGCATTGTGGGACTTTGGCGAAGGAACTGCAAATGAGCATTTGAAATCCACTGGGATGGAAAAGCCAGGAAGTCTTGAAATCTCAGGTTGCCAGGACCCGAGAATCGTCAGCCGGCCTTGACCCTGGATTCAACCCATGTGGAGAGGCCCATCTTGCCTTATGTGATCCCTTCCCAAGGATGCTGCTCACCAACTGTCTGGCCAGGGGAACTCCTGAGAGAAGCTGACGCTGCCTGAAAGATTCCCTAGTTGTTCAGTGACAAGTTGGGGAGCCACTGTCACTCTCCGCTTGGCTGAGGTTTGAGTCACAGAGTGACTTTGGAGCCCACAAATCCAGGCAGTTCACTTCACACACCGGAAAAATTCTCTCCTGGGCACAAACAGCCCCACCTCGCCTGCTTCTCTGTGGGCCAATTCACCAAAGTTTTCCATGAGTCACAAAGGAGAAGGGGCAGGTGGGGAAGGGTGGTCCCTGGGGACAGCCATTGCAAACCCACAGGGGTAAGAAAACCAAAACCTTACCACTGTCTGAGGCAGTGTGTCAAGAGCCGGCATGGAGTGATGTTTGGTGAAAATCCACACAACACAGAAAAACAGGCACAGCATCTACAAATCCACTGTTCTTCATCCTTGAACTTTGAGAGGGTCACTTATTTGTGAGGGCTTCCCTGACCCCTGGGTGAGTGTCTTGTGCCCCTCTACATCTACTTTTTTTTTTTGGTACTGGGGATGGAACCTAGGATCATTCTATCACTGAGCTACATCCCAGCCCTTTTTGAGACAGGGTCTGGCTAAGTTGCCCAGTCTGACCTTCAACTTGCAGTCCTCCCGCCCTAGCCTCTGAGTTGCTGGGATCACAGGCATGTGCCTCTGTACCTGGCACCCTTTTGGATCTTTTGCTCAGGCTATTTTTGGCTACGTGAGGGGGTTGGGCCCCCCAGGAAGGACAGCCCTCCTTAATGCCCCCAAGTTGGCTAGATTAGGATTTGGTGGCAAATGCCCCCGTCTCCTCATCCTCCAGGTGGGACAATCTGAAATATGTTCCACACTGTGAACCACAGATATCCTGTGGGTCTGAGGTCCATTTGCCTACACCAGTAGCCTGCCTATCATCTCTTATTCTGTGCTCTCTTTCAGGTCCCCCTTGCCCTACCCATGATTTCAGAACTCACCTCCCCAAGAAACAACCTACACTAAAAACTTTACATCAAGCCATGCATGGTGGCACATACCTACAATCTCACTACTTGGGGAGGCTGAGGCAGGTGGATCACGAGTTTGAGGCCAACCTCAGCAACTTAGTGAGACCCTATCTCCAAATAAAATAAAAAGGGCTGGAGGGTGTGGTTCGCTGATAGAGGCTCTGGGTTCAATCCTGGGTGTCAGGGGAAAAATAAATCAAAACCTTGCATCAAGCTGAGCAAGGTGCTATACACCTGTTATCTCAGTATTTGGAAGCCTAAAGGAGGAGGATCGCAAGTTCAAGGTCAGCCTGGGCAACTTAGCAAGACCGTGTCTCAAAATAAAAAAATAAAAGGAACTGGGGATATAGCTCAGTGGTAAAGTGTTCCTAGGTTCAATTCCCCAGTATGGAAAACAAAACAAACAAAAAAACCAAACAAAAAACCAAAAAACCTTTGCATCAGACTTTGCCTGTAGGGTAGAAGAATACTTTCAATCTAAGTCTCAAAAAACAAAACAGCCAGGCACACAGCTGGAATTCCAGTAGCTCAGGAGGCTGAGGCAGGAGGATCGTGAATTCAAAACCCAGCCTCAGCAACTCAGCAAGACCTGGTCTCTAATAAAATATAAAAAAGGGCTGGGGATATGGCTCAGTTGTTAAGTGCTACTGGGTTCAATCCCTGGTATCAAAAAAAATTAAGTCTCTGTTCTTTCTCAGGACATTCCCCACCAGGTAGCCAGGATCTGCAGTTGTGCGATTGCATGTATGGTTCTTGGTTTAATGTTTGTCTTCTCTAGTAGAATTTAGGCTGCATGAGGGCAGAGACAATGCCCATTTTGTCCACTGGTAAATCCCTATACATTACTCAGCCTAGACCTTAACCAGTGCTGCATGCCCAATAGAAATTCAGTTGAAGGAATGAATGAATGCACAATCTTTAGGGCTTTCTAATCTTTTGCCCTTCTGGGTGATTTTAAAACATGACCCTCTGGGCTGGGGACATAGCTCAGTGGTAGTGCATATACAAGGTCCTAGGTTCCACCCCCAGGACCAAAACTAAATTAAAAAAAACACAATTCGAAAGTTTTGTGACACACCTTCCAATGAGAAGTGGGGTCTGTTTCTCCTTCTCTTGTATCTGAATGTGCTGGTTTCTGCTTCAATCAAGAACAGGCCTGAGCTTGGTCATAAAAGGTTATGCAGCTTCTCCCTTTGAGCCTTGGGCAGCTGTCATATAAGAACTCTGACTACCCTGAGTCGGCCATGCATGGAGGAAGCCCAATCCACATGAAGAGGCCATACAGAGGTGCTCAGATCAATCCCAGCTGAGCCCAAGTGAGTCATGGCAGCCCAAGTGCAGGCATGTAAATGAAGGAGCCTTCAGAAAGTTCCATCCCCTGACGCTTTCTGGTCTTCTCAGTGGAGACTGAGTTATGGAGCAGAGAGACAGACATGGTGTCACTGTTGTTCCTCTCCAAATTCCTGACCCACACAAACTGTGAGCTTAATGAAACGATTGTTAAGCTGCTAAATTTCAGAGTAATTTTTTAAATGCAGAAATAATGGGAACACTCTTACTGTGAATTTATTCATTCTGTGTTCATTCGGTAGTCATTTAGCAGGTCCCTACTATGTACCCGGTGACGGTTATGCAGCGTGGCCAGTGGCATCAAGATCCCTACCTCCTGGGAACTTGCAGTCTAGGGGCTGCCGTGGTAACTGTATCTTGTGAAAACCTGTGTGTTGCTTTTTAACAATAATGAGTAGGTTTTTCAAAACCACTTCCAGATGGCGTGGGGGGAGGGGCGCTTCCTGATGAGTTACCAGGGGAGGCTCCAGAGGTAGGTAGATTAGATAACATGGACCCAGAGAGCTCTATTATTTGCTGGCTGTCAACCACGTCCCCTGCATCATCCACAGACTGGCTGCACCCTCACACTCTGGGAGAGAGACTGGGGGAGCTTGGAGGTACCATCTCTGAGACAGAAGAACAAGAAAATGACTCCGGCAGGCTCCAGAAGGGAAGTTGGTGTGTGTGTGTGTGTGTGTGTGTGTGTGTGTGTGTGTGTGTGTGGCAGGGTGTTGAGCTGTTCTGGAAGCTTCTCTGGAAGCAATCTACCTTTGCTACTACAAGTGAAGGTCTTTTGTGCTTGCCCAGGGAAGGTGTCTGACACTACCCTGTATAGGTCGAGGCGGTAAGGACGTAGGGGACAGGTTGTCCCCTGAAGTCACCATCATCTGTTAATCACTTTGAAAATAAATGGCTGGTACTGGGAAGTGGCCTAGAAACCTGGTTTTGTTGCCTCCTAGAAGGTTCGAACTTTCAGATGAGGAGTCAAGGCCATGTTAGGACACTTTTTAAAACTGGGCTTCCGTCTAGTAGAGAGTGGCAGTGGAGATAGGCCCAGCACAGAGGGGCTGAGACACAGCTGACACTTGAAACTTAAGAGAAGTCCCCCTCTCCCTTTGGTCACCCTGTGAGAGTCACACTGGCCTGGAGGGTGCTTTGTGTTAGTCTGCCACACCCT